GTTTTGAAAAAAACTGTTTAAAGAAGGCCAATCTGTAATCACAATAGTCTATTAAATAGATAGATTGTAGCCTATAATCAAACTTACAGTTTTGAGAAACAATCCAGAGTCCAATCCAGAGAATGCTTTTAAAAAATTTAGATTATTTATTTTTAAATTATTAACATTTTAAGAATTTCACTTTTAATTTCAAATTTAGAATTTAAATAAGATCCTTATTCTAATTCTAAATATAAAATTGAAAGCGAAATTTATCCTTATTATCCTTTTATATCCTTATTAATCCTTAAGCCTTAATAAGGATTACTAAGGTTATATATAAGGATTAATCTAAGGATGTCAATAATTAATTTAAGGTCCTTAAATTAATAATTCACACCCTTAAATTAATTCTTATATTTCCTTATTAAACCTTATTATTTTGAAATTTATGTTCTTTCCATTGTTTTTGTTTGTTATTCAAAATAAAAAAACTTCTTATTCACAGCCTTAATAAGGATTATTTTTTATTCACATCCTTAAAATATTTCTTATTCAGATTCTTAGATTAAATCTTAATAAGGATGTGAATCAGAAATAATCCTTATTGGCCTTAATAAGGATTATTTCTTATTCCTATCCTTTTTAAGGCTTAATTACAGAAATTGAATAAGAAATAATTTAAGAGTGTGAATAAGAAATAATCCTTAATAAGGATTATTTCTTATTCACACCCTTAAATTATATCTTATTCAGTTAAATATTAGCTAAATAGGACGGTTCATTTTATGAAAATAATATATAACTGCTTTAAATGGTACAAAAATATTTGTTCGTTCGATCATTTCTGTTTGTTGTCAACATTGTTGAATATATGACTGGAAAGAAGTTTATATATGTTTATAACTTATATATGACTGGAAAGAAGTTGTGTAACACTAACTGATGTAAAAAAAAATCCAAGGTGATTGCTTAACCGTACAAAAAGATAGAGAGTAAAGTTTATGAAAATTCGGTGATTTTGGTCAAACGTCAAATGTTTTTAGTAGCGCCGCACAGTGAGTCAAAATCCATAAAAAACGCCAAAAAAAAAAACCCATAACAAACTCTTTTTAGAAAATAATTAATTAAGTTATAATGTTATAATGTAACTAAATACAACTAAAAGAAAATAATTAATTTTTTTGCGATTAATTTTTAAGATTTCACCAATTTATACGCCTTTTTCAAAGACATTTTTTTAATTTTATTTCTCGGAAAACTTGTTCAAAGTTTTGCTTTGTGTTTCCCTTTTAAGATTGATATAAGTAAAAACAGTTCAAAGTTTAATTTGTCATATGCTTAAGATGTTTGGTAATTATTAATAACATTTTTACAATAGATTTTAATTTTAGATTTTCATTACTGAGATCTCAAAAATGTGTCACAAATTGATTTTTTTAAATTAGTTTAATTATGAGTTTAGTTCAAAAACTAATAGATTCCACTAGATTCCACGGTAGTTTTAACATTTTTATATTGATAGGTATATATAAAAGCAGAAAAAATAAAAAATCATTTCACCCAACTTGCGTTAATTGAAGTAAAACTTTTTAATTACTTCGTACTTTTTTTTTGTTTTTTTTCGTTCATCAAAAAAGCAATACCTTTAGTTCTTTTTAGTAAAAATACTCAAGCAGATGGTGCTATTATATGGTTAATTATCAAACCTCGAAAATCGAAATATGGAAGAGTTGACGGCATATTGCATGTTTTAAAACGGAATAATTGATAAGAAATGAATATGAAATTTTAAAAAGAAAAATGAATAGACTAGTCCAGTTTGAGGTAAATTGGAAGTAGAGGAAGGCAAACCGGATACGACAATAGGATATGATACATTTAAGGTCAAACTAGATTTAACCACGTTTGATTGTAAAGTGGTTAATGCCCTCAGTAACACTCTTTTCTCTCAATCATATAATGTTTGCTGAGCTAAGCCTAGCGAACTTAATAACACAGCATTGATCAGATTTAAACCAATCGATGAAAAAGCTTTATATTTATACCTTTTTACTCTGCATTGGTGGCTCATATCTTTTAAATTTATTTAACATTTAGGATATAACTTAGACATTATAAAAGTACTTTGCTAAATACCCTGCTAAAAAAGCATTAGTTAAAAATAGAAAAAAGTACTTAAACTGAGGTTTAGAGAGAAGCTAAGTCTTAATGTTGATATGCCCAAACAGGTTTTGGCAACACTAACAATGGGGACACTACCAGAAGGACATTTAAAAATGCTGGAACTTTTGCTAATATATCATGAGTGGCAGGAGATGTAGTTATTAGATTGAGGTCAATCCTAGCATCAGTATGCTCCTGTTATTAGTTGAACTATAAAAATTTTGGCCACTATTGCTATGAAACTACAGCCATTATACTCAAAAACTATTGCTGGTATGTGAATCCCCCAACTGTTCATAAACTCTTGGAACATGGTGGACAGATAACTGAAGCATTAAAACTGTAAATTGGTTACTAGGGTCACAAGAAGTTCTGAATAAGGAAATTTGCAAAACTAGATCGAAACATACAGATATCTAGAAAGAATGTTATGAAAAACCAGTACCAATACCTCTTGATTAGAAGTGATTCTGCAATATCAAACATTTTTTCAAAAAATACATCTTTAAAAATGTAAAAACTCTTACCCCTGGAGTTTTATCTTTGTTAATGCAGTAATAATGAAGTAAAGCTTTTTTATTAATACAAGGTTTTTTTTTGTTTTTGTTTTCTCGAAAGAAAAGTTAGATAAAATAAATATTTATTTCGTATTTAATATAATTTAATTTTATTATAATATTTAGCTGCATTTTGATTTTTTGAATCCAATTATTCTTTTTAATAAGTAAATGTTTTGGTTTGAAGATTATAATCTTTTTAAATTAAGTAATTCTTTGTGCGCGTAAAAGACTCTAACACGTTTACACATGTGTAGTACGAGCCTTAGACACAAGTAAAACTTATATTAAAAAATAATTGGTATTTTGGATCAAATAATCCGATTTTTTTATTTAAATTAAAATTTTCCCGCGTAAATGACACTTACGTTTGTAAGCTTGCGTTGTACGCGTCATAGGTACGCGTAAAAATCATTTTTAATAGCAAATTTAAATTTTTTGACTAAAAATACGATTGTATTGATATATCACATGTATATACATAATAGTTATATAATTTTTGCCGTTTTTTCAACTTTCTGGCTCACTGTGCGTCGGTCCACTATCAAATAGTCTTTTGCTTCTCGCAAACGGACCAATATAAATATGATGTGTTAGCCAGCTCAATTTCACATTAAGAAGCAAGTCGTGTTTGCTTACATTGGCTAGTCGTATTTGCTTACAGTATTTGTTGCCGGTCTAACTACTTACTGTTAAGTAATTTAATAATAAAATTATGCAATCACTATTATATTATTACCCTATTATACAATAATGTTTTTTATCAAGTTTAAAAAATAAAAGATTAATTAAGATTTAATTTGAAAACATTAAGTTTACTAAAAAGTATTTTCGTATGGAAAAAAACGACCTTTATTTTTAATAGCCGAATAATATGTTTTTGTTTGCAAACATTTTTGCGCTTTAAAAAGAAAAGTCACAGGTAAAGCTAAATCAGCACAAACAAGATGTTTAATCGTAACACTATTACTTTTTATAAGTTGTTGTTGGTTAGTTCAATCAAAAAGTTATTAAAGTCACCATCATTCATTTTGTTAAGCAACTATCAGGACAAATTTTGCTACGTGAGCATTTTGGAAGCCACCTTAACACACGAGGTTTAACAACTAGTGATGAATAATAAAAATTTAAAGCTCGTACTCTGATATTATTGCTGATTATACCTGATATAAACTCACATGGAATTCCAAATTTTTTCTTTAATCAGTCTGTGAAATTTGAAAACATGCTACTTCAGTTAGCAAAATCATTAATAACCTATACTAGTAACAACAATAAATTGTTATTATTAGTATCGGTTTTTGTTGAAAATTATTCAACAAAAATTCAACCTATACTAATAATAGCAATTGAGAAACACATGGTATCTCCATGGCAAGATGTTGATGCAAGAAGACACAAGATTTAGATTTATTTGTGAAAAAATATGTAAACAAAGTATTTATAGTTTAAAAATTGTTTTTTTTTTCCATTTAAATTTTATTTTAAAGGGAAGGAAGGGGAAGGTTATTGAACGTTAACGTAGTTTAAGAGTGGGGGCAAGGTTGTCCCCACTCTTAAACTACGTTAAATTTTTAAAATAATTTTCAAGGCGTGCATTAGTTCTTTTTAAGACAAATTTTGTTTGTGTTTGAAACTTGCAAAATTCAAGTAAAATAGTCGAAATATTGCTATAGATAACCTTTCTATAGCTTGATTATTCACTAAAATGCAATTGGTCATTCAGCCTATGACCAAAAAAGCTAAGCGAAATTACACTTTGTAAAATAACACTTATGTAAGTAAATATTTATTAGGTTTCACATTAATATATTTATTATTAAATATTTATTAATACACATTAAGTAAATAAATTATTATTGATGTTAAAAACCCGGTTTTATTTCGATTTTTGAAGTAATATCTCGGAAAAGTTTTATTTATTTATCCTTTGCGACGCCGTTGTTATCGGTGAAAGTATTTGTTTAATGGACATAAAGCCATATTTTGAGTACTTACAGTTAAAACGAAAGATCAAAAGTTTTTGTAATTTGTAAACGAATGAAAACAATGAACCAATCGTATAGTAGTTTTTTTAAACTTTTTTATTAAAGTTGACCTTTACTTTTTAGAAAAATACCTTTAATTCGTTTTTTTGTTACTATTTGTTAAAGTTCTCATAATTATTTAAGGTTTTAGTGCTTCGGTATATAAATTAATAATTACGACTGTCACACACAAAATTCTATACATAATTTTTAATTTATTTGTGACATCATTTTATCATAAAAACAACGACATTTTAAACAGTTGTAAAATCGTTAAATAATGTATTACGCAAAAGTTTCATAACAAAAAAGTAAAGATTCGGCAATTTTTAAAACTATCGTGAAATTGATCAATGATGTTTCAATTTACAATAATATTTGCAAAAAAATTGTAGGTTTTTGTTAAATAGTTAAAAGTTTTAAAGATGAACGTTTCAAGATCTTTATTACTTTTTGTTCTTATTTTCTCAAAGCTATCCACGGAAGATGTTATTTCTCTTCCTAATGAAGAATGTGACATAAGACCAATGCTTATCAATACTGACGCTTTAAATTATAAATATTATCCTTTAGTAGTGTCACTCTATCGTTGTAGTGGTGTTTGCAAAAAGGAAAAGCCATCTTTTCGAAAATGTGTTTCTGCAGTTTCTACAGATATTCAACTACATGTGTTCAATGAACTTCTGGAACGAAATGAAACACTGGCTTTAAAAAATCATACATCCTGTCAATGTCAATGTGCCTATAATAGTTCTGCATGCACAAAGTATCAAAAATGGGATGCAGAGAAATGCAAATGTGTATGTGATCGCTCTCAACAAAGAAAATGTGATGATGGCTTTGTTTGGAATCCAAATTTATGTGCATGTGAGTGTATAACTGAATGTGAAGGTAAGAAGTATTTAAATAAATCAACTTGCACTTGTGCTTGTAAATCAAGATTTTATGAGAAATGCAACCGGAATGAAAAACTTTTACAAGAAATTGATTGTTCATGTTATTTACCAAAGTCGTATTCTCAAAAAGTAAATTGTGGTATGTCACCCATGAAATGGATAATAGTAGCAATAATAATCTGCTTTTTTTGTTTGTTGGTTTTATTTTTTGACTGCCTCATATACAGCAGAAAAAGTGGTTGTTTAAGACAGACAATAAATTATTTTCAAAAAAACAAAACAACTCTAGCAGAGATTAAGCCTATAAATCGTTAGGCTTATGAAACAAAATAGGTCTCAAAACATAAAATACCAGCTAACAAGGAGAATGGAGAACAACAAGAGAAAGTTTTTATGAATTTAACATAAAAAAGTTTTATTGGTATACATATGTTTTATATGCTACAGGCTATGCATTTGTTTTTTTAAGTTTTAGCTTTTATGTAGTTTTGTATAAAGCTTGTATATGTTTTTTTTTTTTTTTTTGCACATGTAGATATTTTATTCTTTTAGAAGTTTTAACCTTTTTTATATTCATTTTATTTCTTATGTGACTCTGTGACTAAATTTTTAAAATTACATAAACATAATAAAGATTGTATGTTTGAAAAAAAATTCCAATGCCTTCAATTTGTTTGTTTTGCTGCAATTTTTAGTCAAACAGATTACCATTATCTGAAGTTTAATCAACTAAAGTGAATTTTGGTTTCTTACAACTTTATTTACTTTAATTTAAAAATCATCAAATAATAAAATATATTAAAATAACCATAGACAATTTTTTTAAATTTTTAACATAAATAATATGATTGAAGTTATAAATAATAACAAACTCTCTGAAAACCTGTTCATATCTATAGCAGTGAGAAAAGAATATATACTTTTTTAATGGCTCAATATTTACAAAGCATTGTTTATTTATTGATTGATAATATTTGTTTAATATTTTTAAAACATTGTATGAACAAGTATAATATGCTTCAAAAATGTATTTTTTTAAAACACACTTGCTATGCATAAGTTTTTGAAGGTTAGAATTTCAAAATTAAAAGAAACCCTCCTTTGAAATTGTTATATTTAGCATATAATGGAAATTCTTAAATCATAAAGTCTTGATTTAATAATACTTTTTCAGTTTATTTTTATGTTTATTTTTTTTTATAACCTTTAATTCGACATACAAAAAAAGTTTTAACTTATTTATACGTATATAAATTTATATACATACATATGTTTTTGTTCATGTATGTATAGCTTATTTAGTTATTTCTAATAAAGCTTATTTAGTCTTTTATTTAAAGAAATAATTATGATGTGTTTTGATGTGCTTAGCTATTTTCTGTTATATAAAAAATGAATAAAAGAATTTACATTAAATTTTGTGTTAAAAATTAAGTACTTCAAAACACTTTGAATATTAATAGTGGCTTACAGTGAGTCTGCCATTAATAAAAAATTTATTTTACAGAATTTAACATTTGATAAGTGAAATTGTACTATTTTATTATTGTTCTGTTCTTTTAAAAATATTGAGCACTTTCTAGAAAACATCGAAAATTATTTGTGTATGAATATATAATATATATATATATATATATATATATATATATATATATATATATATATATATATATATATATATATTGTGTATGTATATATATATATATATATATATATATATATATATATATTATATATATATATATATATATTGTGTATGTATATATATATATATATATATATATATATATATATATATATATATAGAGAGAGAGAGAGAGAGAGAGAGAGAGAGAGAGAGAGAGAGAGAGAGAGAGAGAGAGAGAGAGAGAGAAAGAGAGACCATTTCAAAATTTTATATATAAAAAAATTTTGATTTTTTTATATATTTTGATTTGATGTAGTTTGCAGTCAGGAAAGTTAGTTCAAAACTCATTTAACTTATTAACTCATTTAAATTATAAACAGCTCCATAATATTAAAAATATTAAAAAAATATTAAAAATATTAAAAATATTAGGACCCCAATAAAAAGTAAACTTTTTATTGGGGTCCTAATATTTTTTTAAACCGAAAATAGTTTTTTTTTTTCTTTTTTTTTAGTCATTTTTAAATCAATTTTATTAAAGTTATTTATATTAAAAATTATTGGGGGAGGGGGCAAATGCCCTTCTGTCTTTCCCCCAAAGTTGCAATTGACCTGGTTAAGCTGTTACTTTGAAATTTTAAGGTTTTAAGAATTTTTAAAATTTGCTTTGAAATTTTAAGGATTTATTTTATTCATCAATAAGCAACATTTAAACATCTAGGCACTTAACTAGTAATTTTTTTTTTAATTTTAAATTGGTTTAATATATATATATATATATATATATATATATATGTATATATATATATATATATATATATATATATATATATATATATATATATATATATATATATATATATATATATATATATATATATATATATTTGTGATTAATTGCCGGAAGCGTGTGATTTCTTAGTTTTGTTGTTAGAAAAACAATTTAAATTATGTATTTATTTATTTTAGTATATATTTATTTAATTTACTTTTATAACTTTTTTTACGCCAGTATTAAAAAAATGAAGACTTTTTTTGTTAATTATATATTGCCTGCCCAAATTAAAACCCTCAGTCAATCTATCAATCTATGTACAGGTCTAACCCTATCAAAGTCAGTCGGTGGTATGTATGTTTTACTTTGCCCATCCCTTTTCAAGTCAGTCTTTAAATTTAGACTTTGCCGTGCTTATACCTAAATCAGTCCTAAGCATACACTGTTTCGCCTACGGTTATATCAGTTGTTGTATTTACACTTTAAGGCACCTATTAAACTTAAATCTAATAGATGGAAATTATCAATAAACAAAAATTAACAAACCCTAATGATGGGTAATACTTATAAAAATTAGTACTGTTTGAAATAAAACATAAATTTTCACGAAAAAATAAAAATTACTAGACTTCTTCGAATTCGGGTCGCCCCCGTGAGCTGAATCTATCATTTCCACTAAGCTACGCAAGCATTTTGAGGCTTGTAGTTTTTAACTTTATATTTTAAATTATACTGTCGGCAATTAATCTCAGAATTATTTGCCGGCAATTACCTTTTGCGATATTTTATTAATGAATAAATGATTACTTTAAAATTATATATATGTGTGTGTGTGTTATATATATATATATATATATATATATATATATATATATATATATATATATATATATATATATATATATATATATATATATTATTTAAATATTATATATATTAAATTTATATAAATTTATATATTTGTTTGAAATGATGACTAAAAAATCTATAAAATATTTATGATTGGTACTCGACATTAAAAGATACATCTTAGTATGCAATATATTGTAGATGTTGCGTGGATTTCAATGTTAAACTGTTTTGCTGAAAGAAAGTTTTTGCCAAAAAAAAAAAAAAAAAGATTTGTTGACACCACATGTTGTTATTAAAATACAGAATTGTTACTAAAAGTTATTAGGTGTAGCCTTTTTCAACCTGTGGCAAATTTCCTCATAATACAGTGAATGGATCTGAAATTTCTAAAGAAACAATACAAATAAGCAAAAACAAAATGCTTGAAAAAGTAAATAAAATTTACTTTTTTTTGGATTATTTTGCACATCTAACAGATTTTGAAGATATGCAATATTGAAGGTATGCAATATAGAAGAGCCATTAAAAACAAAAGTGCTCCTTTCTTAACTAAATTTTTATTCCATAATCTTAAGTGTCGAATGTGAAAAAAAAATTTTTTGTAAATCAAAGGTAGAAGGAAGCAAAAGAATATACTTGTGTTCAGAGGAATTATATCAAAACCTTCTTATTGTCGTTCAAGCAAATTTAACACTAAACAAACAATATTTAAGTAATATAAGTAATAATTTAAAGCCTCGTATAATACGTGATGCACCTGTTGAAAGCAAAAAAAAGGAATTAATGGAAAAATTCAGAATGCAAGACTAAACAAATTAATGGAGCAACAACAAAAACATTCCTTATCAAAATTTATTAACCATCTATCTGATTTTGTTAGATTTTCTATACAACATAGTATTAGAGAAGAAGATTCTCTTAACGTTTTGAAAAACGTGATTTTATTCTATTTAGCTAGGATTGTGAGCTAATTTTATTTAATAAAAGTTTAGAAATATGTTGTAGCATGTATTTATCTTGTTTCTTTTATTATTATGATCCAATTATTTACTTTTACTGCATTTGAGTATAGTGGTTTTTATCTTTATAAATGGTATGAATCATATCTTATATGTTATAGGTACCAATTTTATTTAATTTAAAGATATTTTTATAATATATATCAATATTTTTATCTCTATGCTTAACTGCACATTGTTATAAATATTAAAATTAAAATAACAAAAAAAGAAGCTTCATGCAAAATTACTATTACTTTTACATGAACTGGTTATCACATAAAGTTAATAATCCAGAAATGGAGGGCTAACCTTAGGCTAAATTACTATTACTTTTACATGAACTGCTTATCAAAAAAAGGAAAGAATCCAAAAATGGAGGGCTAACCGTAGGCAACATGACAGCTTATTGATGGAGTGCATAGTCCTATGGCTGACATTCTCGTTGGTGCACTTCGTTAAGTAAGTTAGACAATTTTGTCTAATTTATGAGAGGAATAGCCAAGGCAAATTTAGTATAAAATTGTTTATATATATAACATCTATATATACGTATATACTTTTAATTTTCATGGGTGGGTTTTCGTGGGTGGGTTTTTGTGGGTGAGTTTTCGTGGGTGGGTTTTCGTGGGTAGGTTTACGTGGGTGGGTTTTCGTGGGTGGGTTTTCGTGGGTGGGTTTTCGTGGGTGGATTTTCATGGGTGGATTTTCATGGGTGGGTTTTCATGGGTGGGTTTTCATGGGTGGGTTTTTATGGGTGGGTTTTTATTCTTCTACACACATAAAATAATTTCTAGCGTTTTTTGGCCGAAGTTTTTCAAGTATTATTTTTCCGCGATAAAATGTCACGTGACAAAACTACCTACTCTAAATAATTTTGGGTTATTTTAATTGGATTACTTTGTTATAGATTTTCAAAAAATATATTTATAAGGAAATCAATTTCTTGTGAGAGATATTTTTGAGAGCAGATTTGCTTTGCTCGACATAATAAACCTTTAAGGTGGTACTAAAGATATTATTAAAATGTTGAATAAAGTATTAAAAAGTTGTAAATTAGAAGTTATATATATATATATATATATATATATATATATATATATATATATATATATATA